TTTTTCTGCCAAGGGCCACTTGGTTATTTATAATATCATTTGTTTAATATAATTCACTTAAAATAAATTTACGTTGCTATGAAAAAAAAACTCCTAGACTTATTGACTGTCTAGTCCCACCTATGGTTCACTTGACAAGAGACAGAACAGGTGATTTTGTGGGCCTTATATGACCCACAGGGCAGGCATTCCTCATCCCTGGTTTAAATGATAAAATAGCATAAGTAATAAAATGTATTGCCGAAACCCGTTTGGCTCATTGGATAGAGCATCGGCCTGTGGACTGAAAGTTCCCGGGTTTGATTCCGGTCAAGGGCATGTACCTTGGTTACGGGCTTGGTTACGGGCACATTCCTAGTAGGGGGTGGGCAAGAGGCAACTAATCAATGATTCTCTCTCATCAATGTTTCTAACTCTCTATCCCTCTCTCTTCCACTCTGTAAAAAATCAATAAAATATATTTAAAAAATAAAATAAAATGTATTGACAGTCTGGCAAATAATTTTGGTCTCTATTTTTTTATTTGTTTTTATTTATTTTATTTCAGTGTTTTTCATCACCACTTATCTCCTCTATGCTCTCTTCCACCTCCACTCATCCCCACCCTCGCAACCACCCCACTGTTGTTCATGTCCATGAGTTCTCTCTCTCTCTCTCTCTCTCTCTCTCTGTCTCTCTCTCTCTCTCTTTTCCTCAATTATTATTGTCACATTTTTAGAAAAGAAAACATAATCAATCAGATTTAAATACAATGTAAATTATGTGCAGAAATAATATTGACTCCTAGAGAAATGATAATAGTACACCAATTAAAACATCAGCAGAATTGGGGAACAATTAAAAAACATGAAGTTAGACAGTATCTGGAAAAAGAAGTAGAGATTTAGATAATTAAGGAAATGAAAGCAATGAAGAAGCAATTGAGAATAAAACTCAGTTTCTTAGCTTAGATGACTTAGATGTAACTACTATTATACAAGATTTATGTTTTTATTATTGAAAACAATGTTTTTAAAATGAAGTTATGTTTGGAGCAGTGACAAGGAAAATATAAACAATTTCTTGGTGGTGTGGTTATATAAGGGAATAAAGATAAAGCAATTGTTAACTGCCAAATAAAAAAAATCTTAGTAATAGTTGAAGTTTGGAGAATGTATATACTATAGCTACAAACTTTAAAAGGACTGGTTAGTTACATACACAACAATGAAACTAAAAGTTGGTTCGTGAATAAAACTAAGATTTTCTAACAACAGGTGACGTTAGATTAATCGAATGCAGATGTTTAACCTTATATTTTGTACATGTGAAAGATAATAAAGAGATTATATAGAGTTCACTCTATTTTCTGTTTTCTGATGTTTTTGACAGGTTTCTTTTCTTAGAATATATCCAGCCAGTTACCCAATGTCAGAAATGTCACCATTAAAGAATTACAACTTTTTTTTTTTTTTCCAAATCATTTGTAAAAGTGGAGATAATATTGGGTCATTTCTAATAGGAAAGCATGACATAATTTTTAGAAGCTTTTTCTGATAGAAACAATCCATTTATTTGTATAGAAAGACTGCATTTTAACAGAGTCAATTAGAAATTTAAAGAGATACAATAGAGTACACTTTCTAGCATATAATTTAAAATATCATCTAATCAACCCACCATGCCCTTAATTATATGCTACATTAATCGGCTATAAAGTAGTTTCTCTGTAACAGAAAAAAAAAAAAGCATTTGTGATATCCCCCCAACCCCCATGAAGCATTTGGGTCTTTAGTTTACTGAAAATCATTTTAGATCCTGTATTACACTAACCCCACTCCAAAAAACGTAAATAATTGGTGACAATAGAGCCTATTTTTGCTTTACTGTAAATACAACATCAAAATATTCATCTAGCTTTCTGTGCAGGAACTAATATTTGTACCTCAGGCTGACATAGCCAAATAAGCAACTATTTGGATTATGGATTTATGTTAACAATTTATTTTTCTGCAATCAATCAAATTAACTACACTACATTTCAAAGAGCCAAAATAACTAAAATATGTGTGTGTTTTTTTATTATGTAGCTTCCACACAAAATTGATCATTCTGTTGAAGCAGCTGGACATGGGAAGGGTGACTGCCCAGAGTAGAACTGCATCAATTCCAATAATAACTCTGCAGAATTCTTCAGCAGAGATTAATTGGGGCAAAAGAGGGGAAAAATGTTTCTGAGAGATGCAGAATTTCAATCTGTTCCAAAATGCAAACATATGCAGAGTATGACATACTGTAACATGCCGAGGTGTTATTCCTTTGTGATTTACTGAGACAAACCTGGTCATGGGCACCAAGTACAGCCCATTTCTTTAACATTTTCCTATTCTGTCACTTTCCCTGGACTTATATCCCTATTCCATAGCATGCAAAACCAAAGAGTTCTAAACAACTTGCTGCTTTGATATAGCAATAGAAGTTCTAGGAATTTATTTTTGAACATTGTCTGTACTTCACCTAAAGTCGCTGTAGCAATTTCACATCCCTGAGCTTGCAGCAGCAGCAATAATAATAACACTTTGATTTTAGTCAATATTATATAATTCCTTAAATGGAATTATACCTATTTTGCTTATGGCCAAAACAAGTGAAACTCACAAGAACATTGTAAATTACCTTGTTTACCTCTGACCATAAAATAAAGCAGCAGCCTGCAGTCTGGATCTTTTCTGTGGTCCCAGTCACTTATAGAAGATTCACCTAGACCCAGCTTCTTCTCTTTGTCTGTCTTTTCATCATCCTTCGCCAGCTCTCCTGCAGACTCGCCAAACCCTTGGCTGTGCTGGTGCGGCACACCAGAGCTCTCTCTTCTCCCTGGCCCTGGGACCAGCCATGTTGGAAGTGTTGGCCGCTCCATCGGACTCAGAGCCTGAGTGACAGGGACGTGAACAGATGTCCCCTGCCTGATGTCATACAACAGCCTCCCTGCCCCTCCTGGCTCCGGGCACGTAGCTCCCTGCCAGGAACCCACCCGTGTTACCAGGTTTATGGACATCTGTCTCAGCCAACTGGGGTTTTTAGAGCAAAGTACTGCAGACTGGGTGCAACAGCAGCTCATTTCTCACAGTTCAGGAGGCTGGGATGTCCGGGGTCAGGGTTCTGGTGAGCTTGTAGACAGTGCTTTCTGTTGTACCCTCACATGTGGGGGGAGAGGGGGGAGAAGAGGGAGAGAAGAAAGAAAGTAGGGAGGAAGGGAGAAGAAGAGAGAGATCTTTGTTGTCTTCCAATGGGGATCGAGGCTGCAACCTAGCCTGCAACCTGGGCATGTGCCCTTGACTGGAATCAAACCCAGCATCCTTCAGTCCGCAGGCCAATGCTCTATCCACTGAGCCACACCAGCTAGGGCCTTGGGCTCTTCTTTTAGCAAAGAGATTGAGTATTTTGTCCTATTTAAATTAGCGCATCTGTTAAATGCGCCTCCAATATCTCCATTTTGAGGATTTGGATTTTAATTTTTTTAAACTGACAGAGCCTAGCTGGCATGGCCAGTGGTTGAGCATCGTCTCATGCAACAAGAGGTCACTGGTTCGATTCCTGGTCAGGGCACATACTCAGTTGTGGGCTTGATCCCCAGTAAAGGGCATGCAAGAGGCAGCAAATCTATACTCCTCCCTCATGGATATTTCTCTCCCCCCCCCCGTTCATTTCTCCCTAAAAATATCCATAAAAACATTAAAAAAGAGAATGAAGATTAAAAATCAATTATTTAAAAAGACTGATAGAAAGGACATTTCTTAGGTCATTGGAGAAATTTGTATGCTGACTGGATGGTAGTGCTGGGGCTCAGTTCTCCCAGTACCTATCCTGCTGGGGCTCAGTGCTACCGATACCAATCCTCCTGGGGCTCAGGGCTCCCGGTACTGATCCTCCTGGGCTCAGTGCTGCCAGCCGATCCTCCTGGGGCTCAATGCTGCCAGTACTGATCCTCCTGGGGCTCAGTACTCCCAGTACCAATCCTCCTGGGGCTCAGTATTCCCAGTACTGGTACCAATCCTGCTGGGGCTCGGTATTCCCAGTACCGATCCCGCTGGGGCTCAGGGCTTCCAGTACCAATCCTGCTGGAGCTCAGTACTCTCAGTACCAGTACCAATCCTGCTGGGGCTCAGTATTCCCAGTACCAATCCTGCTGGGGCTCAGTATTCCCAGTACTGGTACCAATCCCGCTGGGGCTCAGAGCTGCCAATACCGATCCCGCTGGGGCTCAGTACTCCCAGTACCTATCCCGCTGGGGCTCAGTACTCCCAGTACCTATCTCGCTGGGGCTCAGTACTCCCAGTACCTATCCCGCTGGGGTTCAGAGCTGCCAATACCGATCCTGCTGGAGCTCAGTATGGCTGGTACCTAATATTGTGGTACTTAGTACTGACTGAGCTTCAGAGGCTAGCAAGGAGCACACACTTCACAGTTATTTCCCAACAGTCAAAGGGGCTGAGGTATCCCTATGTCCACTCGCGGCCGATGTTGCTGAAGGGCTGCTCCTGGTCCGGAAGTCCCAGCACTTCCAGAGGGCCACGGACTTGGACCACGTACTCGTGCATTCACCGGTGGCTTCCTGCTATGTGCCCTGACCGGGACCGAACGCTGACCTCCTGGTACGTAGGCCGATGCTCCACCACTGAGCCTCACCGGCTGGGCAAGGAGTACTCCCTCTTAGCTTTCCTTTCCAGGGTCCGTTTTCTCCTCCCCCCACCGACGACACCACAACGCCTCATCTCTCTGCTATCGGCTCTGGCCCAGCTGCAGCCCGCCGACGTTCCCGAGGGGCATAGCTCTGAGCTTGTACCGGTCACGTCCACGCAAGGCCTGCTGACCAGAGACACGGAGTTGCTCTGCTGGCAGCCATAGGTCCAGCTGAATTCCCTCCCCAGGTAAAAGGGGACAAGGGCCATAAAATAATCCTGTGCGCAGGTTCTCACGTACTGCGCGCACTTGCTGCGCACGTGCCTTAGCGCTGCCTAGGTGGGCTCTGCGGCCAGGGCCTCTGCGTCAGGCCTGTGGGAAGTGGCTTGACAGGGTGTTGTAATAAATAGCCCCAACTTCCTGATTTTGACTGCGAGGCAGAAACCGGGGGTATATCTACCCGGGGAGGATTAAAAACGGTGCTGTTTTTGCATATCTGGGAGCCAAGAGACCATTTTTGACAAACAGCAAAACTCAAGCAAGTTCCTTGGAAGAGGCTTTGGGGGCCGCCATGACCCTCCCGTTCCTGGCTCTGCTCTGCGTTGGTAAGTGTGGGCAGGGGAGGGCCGCTGAGGGTGGTGACGAGTTGGGCTATGGAGGCAACTGGGATTGGGGCGACTTGTGGGCTCAAGCCCAGTAGTAATGGGGTTGGTGGGTGTGCAAAGAGCAGACACTTTCATTCCCCGAATATCTATTACGGACATGTCACATGTCTGTATACTTTTTTGCTGTTAATCCTCACTCGAGGACATTCTCCCCATTGATTTTTAGAGAGAGTGTAAAGGAGGGAAGGCTGGGGAGAAAGAGAAGCATTGATGTGAGAGAGACTCATCGATTGGCTGCCGCCCCGCACATGCCCAAACCCAGATGGGAATTGAACCTGCAACCCAGGTTCATAAATCAAACCTGGGACCCTTCAGTTCTCAGGCTGACACTCTAACCCCTGAGCAACACCAGCAGGGGCTCATGTCTGTGTTCTTTCATGAGGGATATTCTTCTTCAAATTGCTTCTGGTTTTTATTCTTTAAATTTTTATTGATTTATTTTAAAATATATCTTATTTAAGAGAGGAAGATAGAGGGAGAGATAGAAACATGAATGATGAGAGGGAATCATTGACCAGCTGCCTCCTGCACACCCCTTACTGGGGATCAAGCCGGCAACCTGGGCATGTGCCATGACCAGGAATCGAACCATGACCTCCAGGTTCATGGGTGTTGTCGCTCAAAGGCCGGGCCATTGATTTATTTTAGAGAATGAAAGGGGGAGGGGAGGGAGAGAGAGAGAGGGAAATCTGTTGTTCCACTTATTTCTGCATCCATTGGCTGATTGTTGTATGTGCCCTGACCAGGGCTTGAACCTTGGCATATTGGATCGATGCTCTACTGAGCCACCAGCCAGGTCATATATTGTTTTTAGGCTCAAAGCTATTTTAAAGATTTGCAATAGAAAATCAATATCCTTCATCAAAAATAGAATATAGTTGCCAGTAGTCAATGAGGGAAACAGTATGATTAAGTTTTAATAACTACTGCTCCTGACTGTAGACACTGGGCCACAGTTTCCCCAGTCATCTTTTCCTAAGAGAGATGAGTGAACACAAGAAATGGCTTGGAGCCGTGGCCGGGTAGCCCGGTTGGTTAGAGCGTCATCCTGATACGCCGATGTTGTGGGTTTGATCACCGATCAGGGCACATACAAGAATCAACCAATGAATGCACAGATAAGTGGGACAACAGATGGCTGTTTATCTCGCTCTTAAAACAATAAATAAAAATTAAAATAAAAAGAAAATGGGTTGGAAACTCGTATCCAGCTATGGTATTCTTCTGTGATCAAGACAGAGACAGGCCCCGGTTGGGTGGCTCAGTTGATTGGAGCGTTGACCACACACCAAAAAGGTTTCTGCTTTCCCAGTCAGGGCATATACCTAGGTTGTGGGTTTGATCCCCAGTCAGTGTGCATATGGGGGGGGGGGGACCAATCAACGTTTCTCTCTCACATCAATGTGTTTTCTCTCTTTCTAAAAATCAATGTGAGGATGAAAAGACAAGAGACAGAATGAGAACTTTCTCACACAGAGTCAATGTTAATCCTGTGTCTTTGTACAACCTCAAGTTACATGTCTTAGAAGAATTCTGCAGAATAGTCACATCCCTTTTTGCCTGAGGGGAATCTGAGGCTGAAAACAGATGTGACACAGGAAGCCACTTGGCCACTGAAGGGAGAAGTTCAATCCAAACGCGGGTCTGCACAGTTCCAGAGACAGCACGTTCCCACCGAGCCAGGCTGGGGGATGTCAAAGGTCATGATTTTGTGGGCAGGTGGCTGGAGCGTTGTCCAATGCACCAAAAGGTCTCTGGTTCCGTTTCTGGTCGGGCCACATACCCAGGTTTTGGGTTTGTTTCCGGGTTGGGACGCATGCAGGGGCAAATGCTTCTCTCTCTCAAATCAATAAGCATATAAAAATGCCAGAAGAATAAGAATAAAAGGTGGTAGCTTGGGGTGGAAAGATTCGGAGGGTGCATGGAGGGAGCCACGGCTGGGAAAACCTAGAGCAGGGAGGTGACAGAGGACCCAACAAGGGAGGTGACAGAGGACCCGATGGGGGAGGTGACACAGCACCCGATGGGGGAGGTGACAGAGGACCCGATGGGGAGGTGACAGGAGACCCAACGGGGGAGGTGACAGATGACCCGATGGGGAGGTGACAGAGGACCTGAAGGGGGAGGTGACAGATGACCCGATGGGGAGGTGACAGAGGACCTGATGGGGGAGGTGACAGGGGACCCGATGGGGAGGTGACAGAGGACCCGATGAGGAGGTGACAGGAGACCCGATGGGAAAAGTGACAGAGGACCTGATGGGGAGGTAACAGAGGATGCGATGGGGGAGGTGACAGAGGACCCGATGGGGGAGGTGACAGAGGACCCAACAGGGCAGGTGACAGGGGACCCGACGGGGGAGGTGACAGAGGACCCGATGGGGAGGTGACAGAGCGCCCGATGGGGAGGTGACAGAGCGCCCGATGGGGAGGTGACAGAGGACCCGATGGGGGAGGTGACAGGAGACCCGATGGGGAGGTGACAGAGGATGCGATGGGCTCAGTAGGTGTTGGCGAGCTTCTTGGGTAGAGGCCCGAGGGGCAGAGGCTCTGTGGGCCACGGGGGCTCTGTACAAGCACTCACCACCTGGCAACATGGCCGCTGCCGAGGAGAGGGATCAGTGCTGGGAGGGACGTGCTGTAAGGGAACTGCTGGTGGAAATGTAAATTTGTGCGGCCACGGGGAAGTTCCTCCAAAAATTAAAAATAGGATTGCCACATGACCCAGCAATTTCGTTTCTGGGAACATATATCTGAGGGCGTGAAAACTGGACCTCACAGAGATATCTTCACCCCTATGTTCACTGCAGCATTTACAATAGCGAGAACACAGGAACAACCCGAGAATCCATCAACAGATGCATGGCTGGAGGACTGAGAACTATCTACCCATCTGCCATGTAGCTAGGTAACATAATAATAATATTCAGCCGTGAGAAAGAGGAAACCATGTGGATGGAGCCTGGTGATATTATGCTAAGTGAAAGTCACACTGAGAGAACAGATACTGCCTGTTCCCATTCATATGGGGACCTCAACATGCTGAACTCACAGAAACAAAGAGAGGAATGGTGGTTACCAGGAGCTGTGTGTGTGTGAAAGAAAGAGAGAAAAATGGAAGATGTTGGTAGAAGGGTACAAACTTCCAGCTAGAAGATGAGTAAGTTCTGGGGGTCTGTTACACCAGCATGGCGACTAGAGTTAACGATAGTTTGTATTTGCAAGTTGCTGGGATGTGGCCCACTGTCCCTAGTAGAGAATCACTGCTCTAGCTAATCAGACGAGACCACCTACGTTGGTGTCTGAAGGCACACTTCTGGCCAGTTTGGTCCAGAGCTGTAAGGACAGCCACCAGATGGGAAAGGTGGGGGACAAAGCGTCACTCCTCCGCATCATACAGATTTTGGATTGTTGAGATTCGCTCTGGAGCACCAGGGAGGTAACCCATGGCTGATGGCAGAGCCAGAGACACGCAGGCATCCTCTGAGAGCAGGAAGGAACACCCGAGGGCAAAGGACCAGGTTTCCAGCAGCCGATGCCCTTGCCATAGGCTTGGGGTCTCTCCATCTCTTTCCCCCTCCCAGTTGCTGTGAGTGGGTATGGTGTGCTGAGGGGGGGTTGGGAAGATCACTGCTATTTCTGTTCATCAAGAGAGAGAAAAATAGAGACTGAGTAGCAGGCTCCCCGAAGATGTCCGCGTCCTGATTGCCAGAGTCTGTGACTATGTCTCCTTCGGTGGCAAAGGAGAACTGAGGTGGCAGATGGACCCAAACTTGCTCAGCAGCTGACCCTAGAGAGAGGATCCTGAATTATCTGGTTGTTCCCAATGCAATCACAATGGTCCTTAAAGCAGGAGAGAGGGGCAGAAGAGAAAGTCGGACTCGACCAACCTTTGCTGGGTGCAAAGATGTGGGGAGAGGTGCCCTAGCCAGTTTGGTTCAGTGGATAGAGTGCTGGCCTGTGGATCGAAGGGTTCTGGGTTCTATTCTGGTCAAGGGCACGTGCCTTGGTTGCAGGCTCCTCCTCGGCCCGGGGCCTGGGTCAGGGCACATGCAGGAGGCAACCAATTGATGTGCTTCTCTCACATGGATATTACCCTCTCTCTAAAATCAACGGAAAAATATATCCCCAGGTGAGAATAAAAATAAAAATAAAAATAAAAAAAAGATGGGAAAGAGGCCACAAGCCAATGCAAGCATGTCTAGAAACTAAGGAAGGCAGGGGATGGATTCTCCCACCCATGCCTCCAGAAGGAATGCAATCCTGCCAACATCTTGATTTTGGCCAGTGAGACTGAGATGCTGGCTTTCTCACACGGACCAAACGGCAGGATGAGATAGTGTGCTGTGATGAGCCAGGATCTGTGTGGTAATTGGTTAGAGCAGCCCCAGCTACTGACAGAAGCTGCGAACAGACTGTGATGGCAGCTGGGTTCTCGGGGAGGGCGTTGGGACAGAAGGGGAACAGGATGATGAGAGGTCCATTCGCAGCAGAAGCCCTGGGTGGTCCTCGGGGTCCAGGTCAGGGTGATGACGTGGGCTCCAGGCTTCTGTCTCATGACGGTTCCTTTGCAGGGCTGTGTGCTGGCCACGAGCTAAGAAGAGATGGTGAGTGTTTCTAAAGGAAAGCCTTCCTTCTCCTTCGCTCCAAATCCCCTCACCCTCCTCTTTCTTCAAAGAGCAGGTGAGTGAATCAAGTCCAGCCTGGACTCTGCTTCCTTCCAGAGTCACTTCCCAGGCCCTCCATCCAGGCCTTGCCCAGCTGGGTGCTTCCTGCCAACAGTCATGTGACACTGCGATGCTCCACTCCTACAAGGGAGATCAACTCCAGGGACATAAAGTTTATCCTCACAAAGAACAATGCTTCGAAGATCTCATCTCCTGATTCCCCAGAGGGCCTGGCAGAGTTTCACCTCACTAACCTAAAATCCAGTGACGCTGGAGAGTACACCTGTGAATACAGGACAGAGAGCCCCACCAGAAGGTCACTGCTCAGTGATGTCCTTCTCCTACTGGTGACAGGTGAGGAAGGGAGCTCACAATGACACACCATCTCCCTAGGACAGGGATGAGGGGGGATCCAGAGAATGAGAGAGGAGCAGGGGTCACCCCTCCAGTGTGGATGGGGAGGTGAGATGGAGAGATGGACAGGAGCAGAGCTGAGGGCCCTGCCTTCACCCAGGGCTTGTGGGAGGGACATCTCCTTCCTGGAGTCAGAGCAGAAAGAGGGTGAGGTCAGGTGTCTGTCACTACCCACACTTCCTGTGGACCTGCCAGGACAACAAGCCTGAGTGGGACCCAAGGCTCCTGCCCATGGCTTCTGAGCTTCCTTCTCTTACAGGAGAATTACTGAAACCTTCCCTCCACACCCACCACAGGGGTGAGGTGACTGCAGGAGAAAACGTGACTCTGCAGTGCCAGCAGCCCAGGCATGTGATTGACCCCTCCACGTTTGCTCTACTGAAGAAGGGGACCTCAACACCCATAATGGTCCAGGGTCCAGTAGGAGTGGAGACAGACTTCTCCCTTCCCAGTGTGACACGCAGGGACACTGGGAACTACAGCTGTGTGTACTTCCAACCAAGGACTCCTTTCTGGACCTCACAGCCCAGTGATGAGCTCAGGATCTCAGTGACAGGTAAGGTTCTGACCATCAGCGAGATGGCTGGATGGCTGTGTTATCTGCCAGTGGACTTCCTGCCACCTGAGTACATCGGAGGGAGGTTCCATCCCTCCAGGACTCTGGGGCTTGGGAAAGTCATGTGGGGAGAGGAAGTCAGGGCCAGGATTTCGTGGAGGAATGGACAGGAACTTCTGCTAACAGAGAGAGAGAGTGAATAGTGGAGAATGACAAGACAGGAGGCGGGGGTATCTGTGATACCTGGCCCTACAGGGAAAATAAGATCTAACCACAAAGTCCCTGCCTGGCAGGCCACCGCTCATTTAGACTGAAGTGTGCATGATACCTTCCAGAGTTACACAGAAGGTTCCAGAAAGAAGGTAAAGGAGGAGGAAGAATAGCAAAGGGCCTGGGAAATCTTTCCCAGACATACTCAGAGGACTCTGGAAGATGCCCTTCATTTTCTTTTTCTTTTTTTGTAATTTAAAGGTTTTTTTTTTTTCTTTTTTTTTAAATTTATTTTTTATTAAGGTATTATATATGTACATATCTTACCAATCCCCTCCTGATGCCCTTCATTTTCATTCTCTACCATTCATGCCTTTTAGTTCAACCAAGTGGAGGTTTTTTTTTTGTTGTTGTTGTTTTTTTTTTTTTTTTTTTTTTTTCCTGCCTAGACTGTTTTTTAAAGGAATGACTTTTTTTCTTTTAAATTGTGATAAAAAATGCATAATATGAAAGTTACCATTTTAACCACTTTTAAAAATTCTGGATTGTAAAGCTCTTTTATTTTTATTTAAAAAGGCTTTTGTGTTAATCCTCACCCAAGGATATTTTTCTCCATTGATTTTTAGAGCGAGTGGAAGAGAGAGGAAGACACACAGAGAGAAACATCCATGTGAGAGAGAGACTGGTTGGTTGCCTCAAGCACGCACTCCGAGCAGGGAGGGCTGGGGATTGAGCCTGCAACTCCATGATCTCAACTGGAGTCAAACCTGGGACCTTCAGTCCTTGGGCTGATGCTCTTACCACTTGTCAGCTTTAATTTAAAGCTCTTTTAAATTATACTTGATATACAATGTGTTAGTTTCAAGTGTACAACAAAGTGAGATTTTACATTTATATGCCTTACAAAGTGATCACCACAAAAATTCCACTATATATCTGCCACCATACAAAGTTATTATGATACTAGAGGCCCGGTGCACGAAATTCGTGCATGGGTATGGTCCCTAGGCTTGGCTGGCAATCAGGGCTGATCAGGGCCTTCCTCCATTCTGTGCTGCCTCCCCAGTCAGTGCACATCATAGAGGGCAGTCGAACTCGCGGTCGGTCAAACTCCCGAGGGGACAATTTGCTTATTGGCCTTTTATTATATAGGATTATTGGCTGCATTTCCTATGCTGTACTTTACATCCCCATGACTTCCTTATATGATAACTACAAGTTTGCACCTCGTAATCCCCTCCACCTTTTTGCCCATACTCTCATCACCCAACCCTCTGACAACTATCAGTTTTTCTGTATCTTATGAGTCTGTTTGTTTAGTTTGTTCATTTGTTTAGTTCTTTTAGATTCCACACATAAGTGAAATGATATGGTGTTTGTCTTTCTCTGATTTATTTCACTTAGCATAATACCGCTTAGGTCTATTCATGTTGTTACAATTGGCAGGATTCCATTCCTTTACATGATTAATATTCAAGTGTGCCTTTGTGTACACACACACACACATACACACACACACACACACACACACACATACATATATATCTGCTTCTGCTTTGTCCATTCATATATTGATGAACACCTAGGCTGTTTCTGTATTTTGGCTATCCTATATAATAAAAGTCCAGTGACCAAATGGTGGAACTACCACTTGACCAGTCGCTATGCCAAGTACTGACCACCAGGGGGCAGATGCTCAAAGCAGGAGCTACCCGATGGTGGTCAGTGTGCTTCCACAGTGGGAGCACCACTCTGCTGACTGGGATGAGTGGCTCTCCCACAGCAGGCCAATTCCTGTAGGCCATACCCCTGACCAGTGCACAAATCCTATGCACGGGGCCTCAAGTCCTGTATAATGAAAGGCTAATATGCAAATTGTCCCCTTGGTGAGGCAAGAAAACCCCCACTCCATCCAGGGGGAATGAGCAGCCCCAAAGAGAAAGAAGGGTGCTTTTCTCTGGTGCTATGATCTGAATGTCTCCCCCACATCCATGTGTTGAAATCCTAGTGCCCCAATGTGATGGTATTTGGAGGTACAGCCTCTGAGAGTGCTCAGGTCATGAGGGTGGAGCCCTCGTGAATGGGATTAGTGCCATTATATAATAGAAGAGACCCCAGGGAGCTCCCTGTCCAATTGTGCCATGTGAGGACAGAGGAAGTCTGCCTCCTAGAAGTCACCCTGACCTCTGACTTCCAACCTCCAGCACTGTGACTGGAAAGTGCCTGATGTTTGTAAATTGCCCAGCCTGTGGTATGTGTTTATGGGAGCCTGATGGCCTAGAGCAGTGGTCGGCAAATTGCAGCTCTAGAGCCACATGCATCTCTTTGGCCCCTGAGTGTGGCTTTTTTGTCTTTACAAAATACCACGGCCTGGGTGAGTCTATGTTGAAGAAGTGGCATTAGAAGAAGTTTAAGTTTTAAAAATTTGGCTCTCAAAAGAAATTTCAATCGTTGTGCTGTTGATATTTGGCTCTGTTGACTAATGGGTTTGCTGTCCACTGACCTAGGTAAAGGTCCCCATGGTTGGGAATTGTGCGGAAGGGAGCTTTGTTTTAAAATAATTATAATAACCACTTGGGTTTTAGTTGGAGCCTATTAACAAATAACCCATTTCCCCAGATTACTTAGCCTGTCTCTGTCTCAGTTTCCTCATCTGTTAAATGAGGTTGATAGCTGAAACCGGTTTGGCTCAGTGGATAGAGTATTGGCCTGCGGACTGAAAGGACCCAGGTTCGATTCCGGTCAGGGGCACGTACTTTGGTTGAGGCACATCCTCAGTAAGGGAGGGGGTGTGCAGAAGGAAGCTGATCAATGTCTCTCTCATCAATGTTTCTAAATCTCTATCCCACTACCTTCCTCTCTGTAAAAAATAAATAAAATATATTTTAAAAAATGAGGTTGATAATAGCACCTAACATGATGGACTCATGGCAAGATTCTGATGACACATTTTACCTAAATGCTTTCCCTAGCAAATGTCATATAAATATTTGCTGTTATTAACATCATGAAATCCAAAACTTCTCCCTCTGAATTCTGAGTCTTATCAAAGAATACACTCCTGTTTGGATTTCCATTGTCAGTTACCCCTGATTAGCCTCAAAGCTCCAGGAGGGAAGAGACATCACCCCCATGTCTAGCACCCGTGTCCCCGACACACTGCCTAGTGTCCAGCACAGGGTAAGTGTAAATAATAAATACATTAAAAATGAAAAAGGAATACACTCCTAATGGAAGACTTTCCAGAAAACAGTAGGCCAGAGAACATGTGTCTCCCTCTCATAATAATGGTAAATGTTCTCATCATTACTATTAATTAGGAAGATCGGTGGGAAATTATATGATATTGAAGGTCTTCCAGGTTCTACAAAGGCCAGAGGTGTGTGTCTGTCTCTTTAACTCAGTTCAATCATATGTGACAAGCTTAAGCACAGATGAGATGGCCTTTTCCAAAAGGGGTGACAAAACAGAGAGGAAATCCCAGGCAGGGAGCGTCAACTTATGAACCAGGAGGTCATGGTTGGATTCCTGGTTGGGGCACATGCCCGGGTTGTGGGCTTGATCCTCAGTGGGATCATGCAGAAGGCACCCAATCAATGATTCTCTCTCATCATTGATGTTTCTATCTCCCTCTCGCTTCCTCTCTGAAATTAAAGAAGCAAAATGGGAAGGGAGACATAATACGTTGGATCTGCTCTCCACAGAAGGAGGAACTTTCAAATATTTTTGGTTATTCAACAACTGCCAATAGTTTTTTCCATTCCTGCATTTATTCTGGCATATGAGGAGCCTTGTGAGTGTCTTACTCAATGCTCAGAATTATTGCTGCTTCTGACATGCAGACACTGATATAAAAGGCGACCTGGAATGCTGAGGTGGCTGTTGTCAAGCTCAACCTACACCTTCCAGCTGCTGTCCAAGTCCTGAAAAGTGTCACCAGGGGTCACACTGAGGAAAGAGGAGGATGTCGGTGGGGTGTGCTTGGAGGGCAGATAATTGGGGGCAGGTGCAGGGGTACATTACTGAAACAGGCCAAGGGTTCTCCTTTGGGCTTCCTCAGGACCTTTCATAATCCCCTGAGTTTTACGCAGCTGTTGTGGGACCAGAACCCTGACCTGCTTCCACACCAGCACGTTGAACTTGTGGAGATGTGAGGGTCACCTGATTGGCCCAGGCGGGAGGCCGAGCAAGGTGGGTGACAGTAATCCCAACAGAAGAGAGGAAAGTCACCTTCACCTCATCCCTCGTTTTCCGTAGACCATTGGTACTCAACCCAGTGACATATGGCAACATCTGGTGATGTTTTTGGAGGTCACAACTGGGGCATCTAGGAGGTAGAGATCAGAGATGCTGTAAAGGACCTTATGATGCTCAGGATCCCCTCCCCATAAAGAATTACCCAGCCCCACATGTCAACAGTGCAAAAGTTGAGAAATCCTTCTGTAGATCCATCGTCTAGTTTCTAGTGAGATACCCATGTACTTGGCAGGGACTTTGGGGACGACAACATACTCTCCTCCAGTGCCTTGAGCTTCTAATTATTTTTGTTCTTTTCTTTTTTTCCTTTTTTAAAAATCTTTATTGTTCATATTATTACAGATGTTCCTCTCCCCACCCCTCCATTGCTCCCCTCCACCAGGTTCCCACCCCACCCTCTGCCCTTTCCCCACCCATCATTGTCCTCATCCATAGGTATACAGTTTATGTTCAGTCTTTTCCCATATCCCCATCTCCCCTTTTCCCTGAGAATTATCAGTTCACTCCCCTTCCATACCTCTGATTCTATTATATTCACCAGTTAATATTGGTCATCAGATTTCTAAAAAAAATTTTTTGGTTTTTAGATTCACTTGTTGATAGTTACGGATTTGTTGTTCATGGTTTTTATCTTTATTTACTTTCTCTTCCAAAAGAACCCCCTTCAGCAATTCATATAATTCTGGTTTGGTGGTGATGAACTCCTTTAGCTTTTTTTATTGGTGAAGCTCTTTAT